TCTATTTCTGCACACTTTTATTTCATATCCATTCAAGTAATCAAATATCCATTCAATATATCCAATTAAATATCCAATTAATCAAATCCACTCTAGTAATCAAAGTGATTATCTGGATTTTCCTAGTTGCTTCATGGTTTTGCTTTTCGAAGCTTCTTCATTCTCAGAAAGATCATTAGGTTATTTTTTATAAACAATTACAACCTTCCCAGGCATGGTCTTTCTATATATCAAATGTAATTGCCTTATGCTTTGAATCATAGATTAGTCCTTGGCTCTTATTTACTATTTGTGTGATATTTATGAAATATTAATATTATTACTAATAATTAATGGATAGAGTTGAAATAAAAAATGAATGGACATACTGCCCTTTCTGTTTTGAAGTTTAAAGTGTGTAGTTCAAGAAGTGGTTCAGAGGAAACTTACACAAGCCTCTTAGATAGCCTCATCCACCAGAGGGCAGACAGTAGAAGCAAGAACTACAATCCTGCAGCCTGTGGAACAAAAACCACATTCACAGGAAGATAGACAAGATGAAAAGGCAGAGGGCTATGTACCAGATGAAGGAACAAGATAAAACCCCAGAAAAACAACTAAATGAAGTGGAGATAGGCAACTTTCCAGAAAAAGGATTCAGAATAACAATAGTAAAGATGATCAAGGACCTCGGGAAAAGAATTGGAGGCAAAGATCAAGAAGATGCAAGAAATGATTAACCAAGACATAGATGAAATAAAGAACAAACAAACAGGGCTTCCCTGGTGGTGCAGTGGTTGAGAGTCCGCCTGCCGATGCAGGGGAGAAAATATTTGAAGAGATTATAGTCGAAAACTTCCCTAACATGGGAAAGGAAATAGCTACCCAAGTCCAGGAAGCGCAGCAGGTCCCATACAGGATAAACCCAAGGAGAAACATGCCAAGACACACAGTAATCAAACTGGCAAAAATTAAAGACAAATAAAAATTATTGAAAGCAGCAAGGGAAAAGTGACAAATAACATACAAGGGAACTCCCATAAGGTTAACAGCTGATTTCTCAGCAGAAACTCTACAAGCCAGAAGGGAGTGGCATGATATACTTAAAGAGATGACAGGGAAGAACGTAAGACCAAGATTACTCTACCCAGATAGGATCTCATTCAGATTCGATGGAGAAATCAAAAGCTTTACAGACAAGCAAAAGCTAAGAGAATTCAGCACCACCAAACCAGCTCTACAACAAATGCTAACGGAAATTCTCTCAGTGGGAAACACAAGAGAAGAAAAGGACCTACAAAAACAAACCCAAAACAATTAAGAAAATGGTCATAGGAACATACATATCGATAACTACCTTAAACGTGAATGGATTAAATGCTCCAACCAACAGACACAGGCTTGCTGAATGGATACAAAAACAAGACCCATATATATGCTGTCTACAGGAGACCCACTTCAGACCTAGGGACACATACAGACTGAAAGTGAGGGGATGGAAAAAGATATTCCATGCAAATGGAAATCAAAAGAAAGCTGGAGTAGCAATACTCATATCAGGTAAAATAGACTTTAAAATAAAGAATGCTACAAGAGACAAGGAAGGACACTACATAATGATCAAGGGATACAGTGAGAGGCCCGCGTACCACAAAAAAAAAAAAAAAAAAGCTGCTCAGCATCATTAATTATTAGAAAAATGCAAATCAAAACTACAATGAGGTATCACCTCATGTCTGTTAGAATGGGCATCATCAGAAAATCTACAAACAACAAATGCTGGAGACGGTGTGGAGAAAAGGGAACTCTCTTGCACTGTTTGTGGGAATGTAAGTTGATACAGCAACTATGGAGAACAGTATGGAGGTTCCTTAAAAAACTAAAAATAGAATTACCATATGATCCAGCAATCCCACTACTGGGCATACACCCAGAGAAAACCATAATTCAGATAGACACTTCAGGCTTCCCTGGTGGCCCAGTGGTTGAGAGTTCGCCTGCCGATGCAGGGGACACGGGTTTGTGCCCCGGTCTGGGAAGATCCCACATGCCGCAGAGCGGCTGGGCCCCTGAGTCATGACCGCTGAGCCTGCCTGTCTGGAGCCTGTGCTCCACAACGGAAGAGGCCACAACAGTGAGAGGCCCGTGTACCGCAAAAAAATAAAATAAAAAAGCCACATGTACCCCAATGTTCATTGCAGCACTATTTACAATAGCTAGGTCATGGAAGCAACCTAAATGCCCATTGACAGATGAATGGATAAAGAAGTGGTACATATAAACGATGGAATATTACTCAGCCATAAAAAGGAACGAAATTGGGTCATTTGTTGAGACGTGGATGGAGCTAGAGACTGTCATACACAGTGAAGTAAGTCAGAAAGAGAAAAAGAAATATCGCATATTAACACATGTATGTGGAACCTAGAAAAATGGTACAGATGAACCGGTTTGCAGGGCAGAAGTTGAGACACAGATGTAGAGATCAAACGTATAGACACCAAGGGGGGAAAGCCACGGGGGTTTGGGATGGTGGTGTGATGAATTGGGCGATTTGGATATACATATATACAATGATGTGTATAAAATTGATGACTAATAAGAACCTGCTGTATAAAAAAATAAATAAAATAAAATTCATAAATTAAAAAAAGGAAACTTCAGGATAAAAAAAAGTGGTTCACACATCATACATAATTTTATCTCAATAGATTTTCCACTCTTAAAAAATTCCATGAAAGTATTTGAATACATATTAATAACATAAGGATTTATTCTAATTTTTACCATTAGCAGTTATTTCTGAAATGTTATTTCATTCCAGAAAATATTGAGTTTTATTAGTATATATGGAATAAGTCACATTTTGAATGTATAATACAAAAATATTTGAAAGTTTAAATAAGCTTACTGCGAATTTCCAGAAAGCTTATAAAATTAAAAACAAATTTAAGCCAATTGTGAATTTTTTCTATGTCAGAAAGTTCCTACTTCTTAGTTTTCTGTGATATTTGACATTAAATATTAACATATTTAAAATTAAATAAACATATTTTAAAAAATAGGGGACAGTGGTTTCAAAGATGTTAAGTGCAAGCTTCAGTTACTGTTTAGAATAGTAAGAGATTCTAAAGAAATATCATTGTCACTGGCAGGCATAATTAGCCTTATCATCATTATCCTGAAAACTGCTGCTCTTGGAATTTGTTGTGAATCATCTAAAAATGATAACCAGAGAAACTGTGCACCCATAAAGAGATACTTTCACTAATAGCAACTATTAAAAAAAGCATTGCTGGAACAGACTTGTCACTGTGAACTATCAACAAACCGGAGTATTATCAAAAGCATGAGAAAACATTGAGCTAATGAACTATACCACTCTCACCTTCTCCCACCATAGTCAGAAGAGTCAATATCTATTTTTGAATTCCTGAAGATGGGGATCAGAACGTTGCTTCTTTCATTAAAATTCATACTGGGCATATTGATTCCACAGTTGTCTGCAGACTTCTAGTAAAGCTATATGTGTGTATGTGTGTGTGTGTGTGTGTGTGTATATATATATATATATATATATATATATATATATATGAATATATATACACACATATATATTCAAATAGCTAGGGAGAGAAATATAGATGTTGTAGATACAGATACAGATCTAATGATTTAATGGAGTAATAATTAAAATTAAATATTTCAGAAAGAGACAGAGAGACAAAGAGATGAGATTTTCCTTTAATTCTGAAATTGAGACCTGAGCCTAAATTAATGAAAAAGCACTATATTTCCCACCTTTTAAGTTATAATACCCATTTTTAGCAGTCAAGACCTGCCCCCTCCCTACAGATTTCACTCTGAACTGTACATTTGCCCAAATTACCATGACCACCCTTCTCATCAACAGTCAGAGAAGATGGAAGAAAGTATATTGATTTGTGGAATTGACCCACAAATCAGGTTATTTCCTTCTCTTTGCAAACGAGGGATTCTTCTCCTTCCCAAAGCCAACCGATAGAGGTTCCAGAAGATTCTCTCTAAAAGAGGAAAGGCCAGTCCCCTGAGTGGATGTGTGTCTGCACAGTGGCCACGCTCTCCAGCACCTACACCAACCTGTGCAGGTGTGAGAGACTTTACTGCAGTCAAACCCCATACCTTTCCACAATGTGGGTCTCTCATGGTGTGACGGCTCACAGAGGCAGGCAGCTGGGCTTCAGCCACCTTGTTGTCGCTTCTAGAAGAGGCACTCACAAGTGAAGAATAGCTCTTTGTATGTGAGGTGCACCTCATTTGGTGAGAGCTAGAGAAGAAAGAGAAGAGGAACATTGCCTAGATAAAGCTCCATTTACTGTATCAGGGAACATCTGAAGAGGGTGGCCCCCCGGACTTCACGAGAACCTACTCAGTACCCCACTGCAGAAGCCAGCTATGAGGCTGGTGAGGGCTCCTCGGTAACGCTCCCGCAGACAAGACAACTGGTCACCACAGACTGCTAAATGAGATCCACCTTCTCTAACTTTCCTGCCCCAACACCAGAGCTGAAACGCACGGAAAAACTTTCCTCCTCCACTTCAAGCCTATTGAAATATAAGCAAATGAACTAAACTATGAGTAGAATTTCAGTGATGCTTTAAGACAAATCAAACTGAAACTTTGATTATGAAATAAGACTAGTCTATGAAAATTAACTGTAAACTTATGAAACAAGGCCCATTTGTTATTAGACGTGCTACTGAGCGATAAAAAGAGAAAAGTCTACATAGCACAATCAGGAGATCAAATTAGAAAAATAAAACAGATCCATACCTATGCCCTCGTGTTTAAAGATTCCCCAGGTTAATACTAATTTTTGTGATCTCCAGTAAATTTTAACATGAACTTATGGTATAATTTTAGTTGTATTTATATTTACAAAGGTAACTAACACTTAGCTATGTTGCAGTATTTTTATCTTAGTCTTTTGTTAGGATTTACTTGTTAGTAAATAACCAATTTAAAATAAAAGGAGAGGGAATTCCCTGGTGGTCCAGTGGTTAGGATTTGGCACTTTCACTGCTATAGTTCAGGTTCAAACCCTGGTCAGGGAACTAAGATCCAGCAAGCTGTGGCCAAAAATAAATAAATAAATGGAGAACTTCAACTAAATGAATCATTTTTCTCTAGGAATTATTTCACACTGAATACAATCATTCTTTAATTAATCTGTTTGTAACTCTATAATTTAGTACTTAGGAATGCTTTCAATTGGCACAAGTGTAATCTGAATTAAAAAGATAATTACATAAGATGTTTATTTTCCCTGTGTAATGGTGGACACCAGTAATGTTTTTCTGTTTCAAACATTTTCATACCAATAACATTTCTCTAGGACTCTCAATTAACTTACTGGTATTTCCTTCTAAAATACAGAACTATAAAAGCCACTTGGTTCAAGGGTATACTAATAAATATTTAACCAAAATGAAGTACCAATTACATTCAAAGGGCCCATCAAATTATTATTTTCAAAGGTAAATTGCTTGGGAAACTTGAATATTTCACAATAATTATTTTCCTCAATTTCTAAAAATTAAATACAAAATTAAAATTTTGAATAATTTTTAAACATAAAAAGCTCAGTCAATCATGTATCTGTCTTTAAAAAGGAAAAACAATGGTGTTACTCTGTTACAATAACAAAGAAATCTATTTATGCTTAGTAGAATTAAAAAAATTATCCATGCATGAATATATATATATATATATATATATATATATATCTAGATATCTAGATATATCTAGATATCTAGATATATCTAGATATATATATCTGCCTGACTGTCTGCCTGTCTGTATAATCTATCTGGTGTCTGTGTTTTCACTTATGATGCTGTGATCCAAACAAAGAAAAGAAATCCCTGTATTTACATGTTATCCACTCTCATTAGAGAACTTTATTTGGTCAGCCTCCTAAGCCATTCTTTTGTCTATCTGATTTTAAGGTCAGGTCTTATGAACAAGAAGCTATTAATAAGTTTATATTAAAATCAATCCTTGTTTAGGCATTTTAACAGCTTAATCTCTCTGTTTTGCTCGATCTCTCTTTCTGTCTCTCTCTTTCCAGATAAATGATGATCCTGTATTTACAATTGTGAAACTGTAGATTACTATAAAACAACTAAATATATTGAATTGTTAAGATGTCTCAACAACTATACTAGGCACATTGTATAAAAAATTATTTAATCCAAACATGTACAGTTACTATTACAATCCCAATTTAAAGGTAAGGAAAATGAGGTACTGAGTATTTAAGAAATATACCTAATTTACATAGGTAGGAAGCAGCAAAACCTAGATTTAAACCCATATTTTCTCTCTGAAGAGCTTAAACTCCTGACTTTTATGCTATACTTCTTTAAGTTACTTAAAGTATCTGAGTCTCAATTTTCTCAGAAAGTACCCAAGTCCTTTTCTCATTCATTGAGTTAGTCATTTAAATAGTGTTTACTATGTGCTAGATTACATTTGGATGCAGGCACAAGTATTAACCAGAAACAAAACAGACTATGTTTCTGCTCATAAGGATGTTACTTTCTGGTTAGTTTGTTATGGTATCACTTCCAAATTTCTGATTCTTTACTTAGCTATGTCTAATTGCTGTTAAACTAATCTATTGAGGTTTTTTTTTTTCCTTTATATTTTTGTCTGCGAATTTCTCTGTGGCTTTACTTAATCTAATCTGTCATTTTTTATAGTTATTACTTTCTTGTTGAAGTTTCCAAGCTTACTCCATCTCCTCAAGCATAGTAAATATAGTTACTTTGACATCTTTTTTAAATTTTATGTCTGTTGATTCACTCTACAGTGTCCCTTCATTTATCCATATATCTTTGAATGTATTTGCAAAATATGATACGTGAGCAACTATTTTTGGCAGTAGTATCTGGAGGCTTAAATGATGTTTTCTTCCTCAAATGAGGATTATTTGCCTTGCCCAGGAGGATAAGGGCAATGAAATCCTGAGTTACTTTAATACAAACTGAGTGTGAGATTTTCTGGGCTACTTAAGTGGATAGAAGCCAGAAGTGGATAGAAGCCAGAAGTGGATAGAAGCACGTGGTAATTGGTTTAATTCTGATAACTTTTTACTACTTTAGTGTACCAGCAAGCTTTAGTGTCCTGGTCCAAACTAGCTCCTCACACTGTGGGTCCTCATCTCCAAATGTGGCTTCATTAGTCTTTCAGGACCAGCAAGACTGTACCGCCACCAGCTAGTAGCCCCCATCCTGAATAAGAAATGCTCCCGGGCATTTGCAGTCCTTGCCTCTCAATTCCTTTTCTCTCCTAGATCATAGCCTGCCAACTTTTGACTGTATTTTTCACTTCCATGTGAAAGCTAGTTTGAGTTATTCTAAAATATGTACTCTGCCATTATCAGAAACATAAGACTGACCCTTATTCACCACAAAAAAAAATGCTATTTGAAATTTCATCTCATTTGTGAAGTCTTTTGCCTTTGACCTCTGTTATGAAATTGTCAAATTGATGCTTGTTAAGTGGAACACAGAGTGCCCCACCATGAGCCGTAGATCAACAACAGACCACAAAAGAAACTGAAATCGAGAAATGGATTACTCACATACCCTGGAAGAGGTACCCTGCATGCCTCTGGGCCACATGAGGAGGTCAAGGCAAAGAAAGGCAGGACCTAGAGAACAGGCCTTTATTAGGGTCAGTGGGTAAAGTGCTTTGCGGTTCCTGGGTTAAGGCAGAATTGGTTGATTCAAACCAAAACAGTGGGGTTTTGGTAAATTATACGGGGCCTTATCTGAAGGGCACAAAAGTGGCGGACTCTGGGAAACAGACTCCGGTAACAGAGCTGTTGGAGAAAGCGCATCAGTTACTTACATTTCCTTGTGATTCTGTAGGATTCTTTCTAGGGGGTGTACTTGTTTGAAGGGCTAGTGTCAGTCTAAAGTCACCCCAAGGGCTTCCCTGGTGGCGCAGTAGTTAAGAATCTGCCTGCCAATGCAGGGGACACGGGTTCAAGCCCTAGTCCAGGAAGATCCCACATGCCGCGGAGCAGCTAAGCCCGTGTACCGTGACTACTGAGCCTGTGCTCTAGAGCCCGCGAGCCCCAACTACTGAGCCCGAGTGCCACAACTACTGAAGCCCGTGCTCCTAAAACCCGTGCTCCACAACAAGAGAAGCCACTGCAATGAGAAGCCCGCGCACCGCAACGAAGAGTAGCCCCCGCTCTCCACAACTAGAGGAAGCCCACACACAGCAACGAAGACTCAGTGCAGCCAAAAATAAATAAATAAGTTTATTGAAAAAAAAAAAAAGAAAGTCACCCCAGGCTGCTTGGCCAAACAGAAAGAATGGCAAGGCAGCAATTCCATAGAGTAGCTAAACTCTTGACAAACCCATAAAAGCATCTTTTAAAAAGGTGCTTGATTACGTCTGACAATATCATTTCACTTGAACAAGTGAAAATTTTTGTTTCTTTGTGTTACTCTTGAAACTTTTATCTGTTAGATAGAAAGGATTAGAAAGTGTTTTAAATCAGCATTACAGAGTAGTGCTAAGTAAGTACCTATGTGGTAAAATAAAAATTGTAATATCTGTCTATATGCATATCCCAGCATCTAATTTGAATGTATTATATACTGCAAATAAAACTTGTTTCTATTTATAAACATGAAGCTTTGTTTTTTTTTTCATCAAAGCACAGAGTTATGTTAAAAAAAAAGAGAGGAGCTTTAATACGTATAACCTCTGTTATCTTCAGGAATTGTTAAATATTGTTTGTGGCTATTTCAGACATCTTGGAAACCGAGCTCAGAATGTGATGTTATTCTCTTATCAATACAAGCCCAGGGAGAATGAGTAATTAGTCTAGATCTGGCAGGGTACTCTCATTCTATTAAAAAAGTACTTGAAAAAGTGATCTGAGTGCAGAGACTGACATATTCATTCATTATTCAATTACTCATTTTACACATGTTTGGTTCCCACCTTATACCAGACATAGAACTGATGATATAAATATTTAATGAAGATAAAAAGATAATGAATATGATGGCAACTGTAATAACAAAGTTCTTTCATTGATATTAAGAAATCAAGAGATGCCCTAAAGGTTATTTCAAGATATGAACTATGGAGACTGAATTACATATAATAACATGTGATCAGTTGTAATACATAGATAACAGATGAAGTGATAATGCAGAGATAAAGACTTTTCAGATAGCAACAAGGGCCAAAATAGCTCAAAGAGTTGACTCTTATGATCCATAATGTTTGACACTGGAGTCCACAGTAAGGTAAAAGAACCAGAAAGAACTGGACAAATACAATTTGATAAACTCATGGATGTACGAGGCTCAATGCTCTGAGTAAGCAGGTTGTGATTGTCCCGATCTGTTCACAAAATAGAGTCATTATTTGGTAAAGACATCTTGGAAACCGAGATTACATTTTGGAGTCTGGAGAATAGCATCATCTTTTTTATGAAGAACTTGCACAGTATTTGCTCTGTGTCAGAGATGTCAAATATCTCGGATTCTTAAGTCAACAGCAAATAATACTTATTATTTATTTTTTTCAATTGAACAAATTAAAAACCAAATACGAAGTCACATTTCCATAACACTGCTGGTTGATGAAATAGCTGAGATAACAAGACATGCAGTTATAACTCCAAACAGGAAATACCTATTAGATGGGAGTTGCCTGGTGGTCCAGTGGTTAAGACTTCGTCTTCCAATGCAGGGGGTGTGGGTTCAATCCCTGGTCAGGGAGCTAAGATCCCATATGCCTCATGGCCAAAAAACCAAAACATAAAACAGAAGCAATATTGTAACAAATTCAATAAAGACTTAAAAAAAAAAGAAATACCTATTAGAGCAGTTGTTTCCCTGAAAATATTAATATATTAGCTGGCAAAAGACTCAGTTACTATGGGAGGTTTTTCTAGATTTGTCCAGAAATAGAGACAGGACTGAATTCACTTGTGGTCCTAATGAAAGGAATCAGAATTAATTGACTACTTGCCAATGATCAATTTGGGGCTTGATAATTAAAAAGGAGGCCACAGACA